CTCTCCTGCAGGATAGCTTTCATTGGATATAGCAGGCAGTTTCCAGGTCTGATTTCTGAAAGAAGCCTCTCTAAATGGTTAACACAGTGCTACAAAGATGCTGAAAGAAGGCAGTGCACGACTAAGCTTTTTGGTACAGCATACCATCCAGTGCCTGAAGAGACACCATACTGCCAGGTGGCTGCATGCAAACTAAACCATTAACCCCAAGACCTCAAAACTGCGAGCATTCATCTGATTCACACTTAATATTTATTTTCAGATTTACAAACACATTCTGTATTTCTCAGATCACACCCAGCTAACTTCCATGGAACAAAAAGCCTTAGGTAAGTTGTTTTCCCTAATCTCAAAATTTTTCATTGGTAGAACAAGGGCAGTATTTACCAGCCTCATGACAGCACAGCAAGCTAAGTGCTCATGGTCCTGGGGAAAGAAAGAACATGTAGCAGCAATTTAGATAATCAAGTCAGTCAGTAAGACTTTTACCATTTACAGAGGTAAGGAGTCAGAATTTTCTTCTTGTTTTAATAGGAATCTGAAAGTAAAAATGAGATATTTATTTTCTTGCAACATACAGCTGCATAGCACAAGCACTTTCCACTCCTCGGTCCCGATGTAGACCAAGGCCTTACATCATTCTTCCCCCATCACTTCAATCTTTACTCTCCCACCCTTTTACCATTCGCTCCTCCAGAAGCAGAGGAGTTTAACTGTGATAGGGCCATTGCACAGGAGCACCTTCCCTACTCCTGATGGTGATTCTGGGAAAGAACGATATAGGAAGCATGGGAACAAACAGCTCCCTCTGCTTTTGTGGCTTTTCTGTAGGAATAAACAAGCTTAGGAGAAGAGAAAAACAAAGTTAGAAGAAGAAAAGGGTGCAAAAATAGGAAAAAGTGTCACTAAGCGAATTGGCTGCTAAACTACAAGTAACAGAACAGTGCAACTTCTAAGTTCACAAAAGATACTACCCAAAGTAGGGACACAACAGGCCTGGGAGGAAGCAGGAGGGGTAAGGAAATCAAGAGCAAACGGCTTTCAAAAAATCACACATTAGATCAAATTACAAAAAAAACAAAAAACCAACCAAACAGTTCTTCCATGAACACAACTCTGGATCATCATTTCCTGCAACTAAATCAAGGACTTAACAGTTTCATGCTCTGCTACCATGCAGACTTCAAACACTTTAGGGGAGGATGCTATTTTCTTTAACCAGAGTCAGCTCATCACAGGCAGCAAAGAGGAGAGGGGAAGGGATTCTTTTGCTAGCTGGGAAATCAAGGCCATGATGAAGCAGAAGCAGACCAAGAAACAGCTCAGCACCAAAATGCATGCAACTGCCTTGTTTCCTCAGAAATACTGCAATTACTGAGGCTGCCTTTTCCAACAGCAGGGATGGGCAGAAGACAGCCTCATCTTCTTGAACATACCTATAGAAATCCTAATTTAGATGTTGTTAATCTCACCCCCTCAAAGCTTCTCTTTCAGGGCTATGTCAAATACCTTGGAAGATAAATAAAGATCCCAAGGCACTCCCATCACACATCATTTTCCCTTAAATGACTCAGTTTTTACTCCCTCCCAAACACATCTTCCACTGCATAAACACAAAATTCCACCTTTACTCCATCAATGGAACATTATAATTGTTTTTAGAAGTTTCTTTCCTCATTCATCAACATTCTCCATGTTCCTCTGTAGATCACAGACCTCTAAGTAAGCTTAAATATTCAAATTGGCTTCAAAACTATAGACCTGGAAATTTATTTCTAAACCAAAATCATATATTAAGTAGAATGCCTGAAGTAAGCCTACCCCAAATGCTCTACTTTCTAAAGACCTACACACACTTTCACATGTTGGATCCTAGATTGGTTAGTTCCTGTTTGGCAGCAGACGTCTATTTTGCTGTCAGATGTAATGTGAGGGAATACTGAACACTTCCCAGTCCGTATCACCTGGACTAAGGCAGCAAGCAAAGCTGAATTGACTTCCTGAGAGTTTAGAGTTATAGCAGTCAAACTGTGATTTGGTAGCAGAATAACTCTTGTTTTGTTTTTTCTTTCAGCTAATGGTTTATTTAGCAACCTCCCTGAAAAACAGTAAAGAAGCACTCAAGACAGCCTCGTGGTGTTTGTTTTGTTTTTATTTCAGAAAGAAATGTTTTGGTGGTTCTTGGCTTCAGTCATTCAGAAACAACATTTTACATCAGCCTGGGAATGAATGGCTTCATCTGGAAAGGATGCTCAAGTGCCAGAAGCACCAACACTGCTCAAGTGAAGAAAGTCACTTCTAAGCAGAGACTAGCAATAGCAGTGTCCAAATTCAGACTGGCTCCTTTCATTTCCCAAAGACTCTCTCAGCTTGCTAGAAAGATGCATTATATAACATCCTTTGGGTGACTTCTGCATATTTCTGTCCTACAACCATAAAGCTCAAGAGCTAGATATATGAATCAATCAGACAGGCCACTGTGAGGTCCCCTCTGTTTGGACACAGGTGACCCCAAAAAAACAGATTTAACCAAACCCAAGATTGTTTATTAGCATTTATTTACCTTCTCATAATACATTTTTCTAGGAACAGTATTTACTAAGTCAGCTCTGACAGAATACAGCAACACTTCTACTGTTATGTAATGGAAGTATCATACTCTGCTCTCTGCTTGGTAGGATTTTAAACTATACCAAAATATCCAGAGCTACGTTCTTTTACTTACTAGATGTCAATGTTATGTCTTAAGCTACCTCCTATGAACATGTTCACCTTCTGCTCTGCACTACAACCGTCAGCCCCCCGGCCCTGTAACAACACAGAAGAAAAAGCAAAGAACTTTGAACTACAAAAATAAGATTGCTATACTGAAATTAAATAAAGACTGAAACAAGATCTGCCCTATTTTGCTATTTAAAGCAAATGCTTTCAATGAGAATACCCACAGGGTAACGACACTAAGAACAGCAACTAAAACGATGCCTGTGGTAAAAAGTATTAAAAAACACATTGATCTGACAACTGCTTAGTTTTCACGTGATTTTCTCCAGGCATCTACAATCATACTAGAAATGATATTGATGTAGTCAGTCAGTGCTCTCCACATTGCTTGTTCTTGCAAAGATGCACCTTTGCTGACCAAAGTAACATCTGGAATATCTTTTTCATTCATCAGCATTTGCACGTGGCAGTTGATTGATTAAAAAGAGATACTGTTCAAGAAGCCAAAGTAATAAGCAGCGTGATTAAATATCAGCAGGAGATGTCATGGCAGCTTCATTTAAGGCAGAACAAAGGAAAAAAATTGAAGTTATCATACACAGAAGTCCGATTCCTTACAGGCTACTAATACACTCATGGGCATCACTGCCAAATAACATTTCCTTTCCTTTTATGCATGCTGGCATCAGGCAAGTCCTGGAGAGCAAGATTTCCTCAGAAGCCCCAGCAAATGGCATTATGAGCCCAGTTGGTGCCTGGAAGGTGGCAAGTGTTCACCTGGATCTTCACAGCACCATCAGCAGAACCACAACTGCAGTATCGTTTATAATTTCAACTCTCTGGTTCTTTTAAGCTTCTAACCTCAGTAATTCTCCTTCTCTGCCTTCCAAGGAGGGCATGTAGCCATTCGTTACTCACACTGTTTTAGGCCACAGCTGACAACAAACCCAGCCTCCGCTTCTTCAAATTCACATGTAACAGCCACTGAAGCTCAATGAGCGTGCCACGTAGCTCAGTTTTTAAGGCAGAGAACACAAACCCCCGCTTAAAAACAAGAGAAGAGCCCCTTCTGAGCCGCTGGGCCCTGCGGGGCGGTGACAGACAGCTGGCCTCACTCTTGGGTAGGGAAGAATGGAAAAGCTTAAGCCACCAGCAGTCCCGCAACTGCAACGCCAGAACGCTGCCACAGCCCGGGAGAGGAGAATTTGGGCTAGAATACGTGTTTGTTAAAACAGGGCGTTGATTTCTTGGCAGCGGCGGCAGGCAGGAGACACCCCTAGTGTCGGCACGCAATACTACACGGCTCCGCGCCGTATCTCGGGGTTAATTTTACGGCAGTAAAAGGGAAATTTAAATCGCCATGATTAAAGGGAGCCGAGAGACTCCGACACGGAGCTCCCCGCACCCAGCCGACTCGCCCGCCGCCACGGGCTTCGTGCCCCAACGGCTCCCGGGCCGGAGATGGGCAGAACGAGGCGGGGGGCAGCGGCGGCACCTGGGGAGAGGAGAGGAGCGGAGGAGGGGAGGGAAGGAGGGAGAGCCGCGCGGGAGGCGGCGCTGAGGGCCGCGAGGGGCGGCGCGAACCCCCGCCGCGCTGCGGGGAGCACGGGGGCGGCGGAGGGGAAGCGGGGGACGCGGCCGCCCCCGGGGAGAGGGGAAAGAAGGGGGAAAAAGCGAGGAAGGAGAATCGGGGGGGGAGGGGAGGGAAGCGCGGCACCGACCCGCGAAGGACGTGGAAGGCTCGGAGGAGGAGACGGGTCCGAAAGCCCACACCACGGTTTTCCCCCTCGCCGCCCACCCGCGCGGCCCGGCCTGGAATATTCGTCGGGACGGGAGCGGGGAGGCTCCTCACCATGGTGGCGGGTGGGCGTCAGGCGTCGTCCCCTGCAGCCGGATCCGCCGAGCCCCGCTCTGGCTGTCGCGCGCGTACGTTGGGCGCCGCCGCCGGGCCCGCTGCCCGCTCCGCTCCCTCACTGCGGCAGTGGCTGCTGGCGTTGACCCGCAACGGCGCGCAGCTAGCGAGGGCGGGGGCGCGAGCGGCGGTAACGCTCGGCGGCGGGGGCGGGGCCTCCCACATCCGGGCACCGCCGCGCCCCGCGCCGCCCTCGCGAAGGAGGCGGAGCGCGGCCGCGGCGTCTGCGGCGGGAGGGGGTGGTGGGGAACGGGACAAAATGGCGGCGGCGCTGAGGGCGTGGGTCGGTGGGTGGGGGTGCGCTGCTGCTGTTGTGGCTTCTTCTTTGGGGGTCTTTGCAGGCTCTCCTTGTGCCATCTCGTTCTCTTGTGGAGTCTGCTATATAAGCCTCATTGCTGGAGCTCTTGCTTCTTTTTTTTTTTTTAGTACTTTTCCACAAAATAAAGTAGAAGCAGGCAGAGGACGTGAGGACACGTTCCACAGGGCTTTTTGGAACACGCTTGGTGTTGTGCAGGTTTATAGGGAGCTGTCGCATTCGTGTGTGGTTATGCAGAACCAATGGATGCATCTTGTGCTGTGGTGGTTGTTAAAAGCCTGCCTACCTCTGTGTTGTTTCAGTGCCTGTAATTTGGCTTTGCGTGCTGGATAATCTACGAAATAAAAGGACTGATAAGAACAAGCTAAAAGATGCAGTCTAAATAATGTTTTTGAGGTCAGATTTAGGGCAGTGTGACTGCTTGCATAAGGCTGACCCTTGGGGAGCGATCTGCATATTGCCAAGTTTCAAGTAGGCCAAGTGGTGCCTTTAAAAGTCTCAGTGAAGGGTAAAGTAACATACCCTCACACGTGAATGCTATGTTCTCTTTGTTGCTGTTGTATTTCTTTGTGGTTGCTCTATTGAATCTGTTTGGAGTTTTTTTGTTTTTTTGGAGCACCATAATGCTGTGCTTGCAATGGTGCGATGAATGAAGTGGTGAATAGTAAATAAGAATTATGTATGGAATGTTGCTGTGTAATGCTGCCAAAGAATAAATTCCGTACCATGCTGATGTTGTCTTTCAGGTGTTTGATATTTGGCTCGCAATAGCAAGGTACTTTGCCAGGGAAAGGCAAATCCATCCTGCCGAGCTCAAGGGGAATGGCAACCTTAATTGTGTGAGAAGGGAACACTGGGTTATTTAAAACCATATTAGGGTACTTAGAAGCATAGCTGAGCATGAGCTCCCCAATTTAAAACAGTAGTTTTTCTTTAGCTTCTCAGGAAAATAACTGCTTTATCACTGTTGTTTGTGGGAGTTTGAGCTGATCTGTGGCCAGCAAAGGTCACCTTCAAAGTTCCTGGGGGAAAAAAAAAAACAACAAAACACAGCAGAATCTTGAGCTGGCAGTGTGTAAATGATGAGAGGAACAGGGAATCTTTGGTACAAAAGTCTGTTGTGGAAGCTAGATAACGTGTAAATGTGGAGGTCTAGAACAGATAAGAATTTGTCAACTAATAGACTTAAAGCATGGTGATAAATGCGCAGCTCTTAGAAAGTATGTGTAAAAACATACCTCAGGTTCTGCTATGGAGCTGGTACTCAGCATGCTTTCAGGTCTGCAGAAAGGGATAAGCTTGACTGGGAGGAATAAAGAGATTGCAGAGGAAAAAATCTAGCAGTTATGAGGAAATGAGAATGTGGCAACGAGTAAAACCAAATGGTGGCAAATGAAAAGTAGTTGCACCAAAAGAAAGCAAAACAAACAGTAATGCAGAACCATAAGCTTTACTTTAATAGTGAAATAGGAGAAAAGGCCTTGGTGATAGGAACCTGAGCCTTGCCACAGCAAGAGATGGTACAGCATGAAGTGGTCCAGCCCAGGAAGGAAGACCCCACCTCTTTCACTGCCAGGTACTGCAGCTGCTCTCAGGGGAGCAAAAAATAAAAATCTGGGAATAAAAACTAGTATTAAAACTGACTGGGCAGAAATTCTAATGTCAAACAGCATTCCTGCTTATCTCTCTGCCACTGCAGCCTTATCTAACAGATGCAAATCTGGAGTAAAAATTGGCTAATCCGAGTTGAATATGGCTAGAATTTTTATGGCAGAAAGTGATGGGACTAAAATAAACAGCAATGAGAAATACAATACCTTAACCGTTACCTTTTTAGGTTTTGAGTAGAGACAGCCAAGAGCTCACGAAAATATATTTTTTTATCTCATAGGGCAGCTATGTCAGTGTTCACAGTTTTGAATCTCTCGATGCAGTACAAAGTCACAGTAATTAATTTTAATTTTTTTTTGTTGTGTCAATGTGTCAAAGCTACTTTTATATCCAGCTTCTAAAAGATGTTAAAAATGCAAAATGGCACTTGTTAGTGTGTAACCAAGTGCAGAAAGCCATGACTTGCCTTTAATCATTTACATTATATTATCACATTTCTGAATAGTATTCCTGCAGGTACCAATGTTTGAATCTATTTTTAAAGTTTCAGGCAGTTCTGCATTTTGTCACTTCCTGGGCCTTAATAAAGCTCCTTTTGCAGCATAATTATAACCATTAAAACTTGGATAAGTGTGTATTTTAATGTAATGGAAGGTTGTTATGGTTACAGATAAATGAACAGGTAAGTTAACTATGTACCTGTTTATGTTCTTTGGTGTCATAAACAGTAATGATGTGGTTTGCATAGTACTTGGCCTGGAAAACAAATTCCGTGCCCCTGTTTATGTGACTGGGCTCCTGCTGCAGTTCTTTCATAGCACGCTCCTTTTAAAGTGCTAATTGTGGTGCCTCACCTTTCTCTTATTTGCTTAAAAATTTGTGTCTTATATGTGTGCACATGTAGATATGATGCATCTTTGAGCGTATCTTTCTCTCCCTTTCTGCTGATCTTCATACAAACATTCTTTACTTGCAGATGTCACAGGATGTATTTTGCATGGAGCATTTGCCTCTCTGCTAACCCAGGCTGAGGGCTGCCACCTAATTAAATAATCTTCTGTCCTGACCCTTCAAAGGCTGTAAGCAGCTTTTCCCAGCAAAGCAGGTAACCTCTGGGGACAGAGCAGTGAAGCTTGAAAAAGCTTTTATGTGTTCTTATTGGTTCCAGTTGTGTTTTCTTTTTTTATCTTAATATTTCTTTAATGCTCTAGAAGGCAAAAGGGGAAGCTACCTATTTAGGACCTACTTTTTTACTTTTTGTGAGAGCTACAAAGGGATGGGAGGAGGGCTGTATTTCATCAGGAAAAGAGAAAAGACTGTTGTAATTTCTGTCCAAATAGCTTTCCTCAGCATGTTTGAATTGCTCTGGTACTACAGATCCTGAACTCTATAGTCTGTGAAACTGACGCACCATGTTCATTTATTTCATGCCATTTGTAATAACTGGTAGAATAATAGGCACATCTAAAGATATAATACTGACTGGAACTGACAAATGCATGGAAAAATAAAGTACTTCTCATTGTATTTTTCTTACACCTACATCTGTCTATTCAGTTGAAAGAAATCAAAAGGAGCCTGCCCTTGTTTTCTTGCATATTTGTGTGAGCGTGTATAAATTCCCACGTCTTGGGAGGAGAAAGAATATTTTTCAGATCCAGTGAGCACACAGAAGGAAAAATGATCAAATAAATGGGTTAGGGACACAGGGGAACACTGTTCTCTTTACCTAGAAGATTGAGAAGGGGACTCTTTAAAGTCAGGAGCAAAGGAAGGGCCACAGAATTCGTGTGAAGTCGTAGATTAATAAGGAGCTTTTTGGTAACTTGGTTGTTTTGCAGCTCTGAAGAGCATTAGATTTCAAACTGCTAGACTTGGTTTGGATGTGAAGTTGCCTTGAGCATATGTGCACTTACTGAAGCACTGTAAATATTTCTGTAGGTCTTACTGCCCAAGGTGTTGTAGAATTAAATGCCTTGAGAGCAGGATTATTTCTTTCAAAGCTTTCATTTTGAGCTCTTAGTGGTAATTAAGAGCCCCCAAGAACTTCAATCCACAAAGTGTAAATCACTGCAGTAAACTTTTCTCTTTTTTTTTCTTTCTTTTTTTTTTGGCTTAACTGTGTTTTACCAAGTGGTCTTCTGGTTTCCTAAACTTACTGTCAGTGCTGGCTAGGATTAGCTGAGGATAAGAATGCTTTCTGTATCTTTGACCCTGTACCTGTAGTTGTATTGCTGTGTCAGATAGCTCTCTGCAGAACAAATATATGGAAATAATTTGCAAGGAAGACTGAGACTGAAAAGTTACTGTTTTTTTTTGAGGCTATTCTGTTGGCATACTAATTTAATATGGTGATATTACTTGCCTAGCAATTAATGGCATCCAACTGTAGCTAGACTTGATATTATTGATTGCTTTGTTTGTTCTGTTTTGAAGATATTTGTTCTGGGGAATTTTGATAAGAAGCATGGGCTGACTACTCAAAGACTGCATGAAGTGCTGCAAGCATGAGTACAGTGTTTGATTTTTCACTGATATCCTCATCTCCCACAGCTGTAGAGGGTTATTGCTTTTATTCAACTCTACTATGGATACCCAGGCATTGGTCTATTTGTGAATGTTTTATCTTCTCACAGGAACTGATTAAACAACAGAGATTGGCCTCCACACAGGATATTAATGAGCTATTAATGTATGTGACTTCAATCTTGTGGAAATAATCACTTGAATTATCTTAAAAGTACCTGTTTTCATCACTGGCTGACTGTTTCAGGCTCTGGCCAGTACAAACTCTGAAAGTGATGACTCAAATAGCAAACAGACTGATAATTCATTAGTGAAACAGTGGCATCTTAACCAAAATAATGCCAAAATGTCTTTGTATTTTACTTCTTTCTCTTGTAGCAGGGAAAAAGCAGGGGAACTGCTTGATTGTTGATCCCCTAACAGTTGGAGTTGGAGCAACAGTTGAATACCAGTTGAGGAGCTTGACTCAAGACTAATCAAAATAGGTGTTGCTGTCGCATTGAATGCCCTTTAGTGTAGCAGTTTGTGTTGTGGGGAGTTTAAGTAATGTAGTGTGGAGTTCTGTGCATTAACCCTTCCTGTTCATCATGGAGGAGTAAATGAATGGCATTAAGAAACAATATTGTGTCATACAGTAAATTGTGTTCTTCTTAGCTGTGCATCTTCATGTGGCTTTGGTTGCTGTGATCTCAGTGCTCATAAAATCTGTTTTAGTTTGCAGTGCCATCATGTGTGTGAAATGAAATAAGTTGTTAGAGCTTTCAAGGAAAATGTGGTGCAGCACAATCAGATATATCCATGCAAATGAATGTTCAAGGCCCTCTTAGCTGAGGACACGGGACTATGCTGACGTAAGTAATATTTTACATTTTCTGAGCACTGTGTTTGTGTGGGTTTTTTTGCTTTTTTTTTTTTTTTTTTTTTCACTGTGTACTTCTGCTCCATGCAGACACTTTCTCAGAAGCTTATTTTGAGGGTTCTGTGGCTTGTGGTTTTAATTTGAGAAGCAGGAGGGAGTGTAACCCTAAATGCCAATTGAGTTCGACTGGCACAGGATGTGATTTTTGCCATGGAAGTTCAAAGTGCATCTAAGAATTCAAAGAACTTTCATTTGGTGTACATTTATAGCTGTGAGAAGTTTTGCTACTCCACATGTTGCATGGCAAAACTGGTTTTGGAGAATCCCTTTTCTTGAAATCCAGAGCACCTCATTTATCACTGTGTCATCACTGGGTACAACACTTATCTCAAGATCACTGTAGTAAGAAATTCTGTGTTTGCAGCACAGGACTAGAAAATTGCCTCCTCTGGTGATGTCTATAACTTCATTCCTGCTCTGCTGCTTTTGGTAGAAGAGTAAGGTTATTCTCATGGTTTTGGATGGGATGTCTGCATTTGGTTTTTTTGTGTGTGTGTGTTTTGTTGTTTTTTGTTTTGTTTTGTTTTCCCTGTAAAGCACATTCAGGTTCTCAATCCAAAGTGTTTGGGCATCTTAGCCATTATCCTTTCACCCTGATGTTGGAAGGGTTAGATTCTGTTAATTTGTGTTTTGAATAGACCATGAGAAAATGGTCTAATGTGTTTAGAATAGACAGTTTAGAAAAGAACCATTAAAATATTTAGCTTCCTTGTATCATCCTTTTCCTTGGAGGAGATATGAGTTTGTGCACTGTTTTGTGCACAGTTGTAACAGTTGCTGGGAGCTCTTGCTGTGCTCGGAAGGTAAAGAATCCCTTACAGGATGTTAAACTCTGTTAATCTGAAGATTTTATGTGCTCTAAATCTTTGGGCCTTCATGTTGCAAAAGGATTTCTAATTAAGAGGGGCAGTTGCCAAGGATGGAATGCAGCTTGTTTCTGTGGTACACTATTAAGTCCTGAGTCTTCTGCTTCCTTTCTGCTTGGCAAGGTACTGATGTAGAATGGATTTATACATCAGTGGATTTTAAATTAGTTTCTGATCAGTCGTGCTGTTGCTGAGCTCTCTTAGAAGAATTTGCTAGAATAGGGGCTTTTCTTTTACAGAAGGACCTACCTGGGGGGAGGAGAACAAACAAAGCAAACAGGAACAACAGAACCTCCAGTCTTTGTTGGTTATGGGTAAAATATGACCAGTAGTGATTCTAATGCTTTTTAGCTGAATCTTTTGTGATGTAAGTATATGTGCAGATTGTTATAACTTAATAGTATCATCTCATTAACGTGGTGCTCAGCATGGGGGGGGGGGGGGGAGGGAAGCAATTATCTGTTAAAGAACTTAAATTTTTTCATGCCTTTTCCTATTCAGCTGAAGTTGATTTCTGAACACTTTTTTGCAGTCATATGGGTAGCTGGTAAAATTGCAAATGCACAGGCAGGTGAAGTACACAGCAGTACTTCCCAATGCTGTGGGAGCTGTGCAGTGCATGTAAATCTTGTTTGCTTTTTTTTAATAATCTTGTTTAATGCTGTTATAAGCACGTTACCTTTGAGTTATGCTACAGCTGCGTGCATCCCAGCTGGATAAAGATTGAATGCGGTGTGTACAGTTCTGGTGTACCAAGTGTTCTGCACATAGAAGCAGCCCACTATTCTGACAAGCTGCCTTGGTGAAGGTGCAGTCAGTGTTCTTTCCCTTTTACAACTCACACCAAGTTTGGACTAGAATAAACAGCACTGTAGTGGCTTCCTGGTCAATGTAATTTGCTGTTTTCTGGCTGACTTAAGCTCACAGGATTATCTTGCTACCTCCCTACTGCTAACCACCAGAGCTAAAAGTGTGGCCATGTCTGGGAAACGTTTATGTTTTGGCCCTCTTTCAAATAGGAACAATTCTGAGAAATACTCCCTCTTTGCATGGTGAAGCAGGAAGCATGCTACTTACTGATTTGGTATGTGTAGCCAAGGATAAAATACAGGTCACAAATACTACCTTGCCCTTCTAGCTATCAAGTCTATTGCTCTAGCAATACTTTGAGCAGAACCTCACTAGCAATCATCCAACAGCTTTCATTCCCTGTGTCTGAATACAGTAATCCTACACCAGAGTGACAGATTCATTAATACCTCTGTACTAGGGAACACATGCCCAGTCCTCATCTGATCAAATGCATTGCATTAGGTTTAGCTTGGAATGTGGGGGAAAAGGAGGAGTGTGTGTGTGTGTGTGTGTGTGTGTGTATAATCCTCTTGGAAGTAAACCCTATTCTCCCTCTGCTGACAAGGACAGTCTTGGTCAGTAGTGTGCCAGTTGTAGACACATCTGGCATAGTGAGAATTTGGCCAGCCCGAATGAAGGCATCCTCTTTATTTTTTCACTCAGATATATAAATGATGCTGAACCTTTGATGCTGAACGACCTGCAGCCCTTGTGTGGGCTGTTAGCTTTTTTTAAGCACTGCTGTTCTGAGTGCAATAAATAGATCATACTTCAGATTAACTCTTCAGGGAACCTATTTTCATTCTAAACTGGTTGTCTGCACTCAGAAACCTTTGAATACGGCCTAAAACTGTTTGTTGCAAACCTTAGGAGGTCAGAGCCTTTAAACTAGCAGTGTGGAGTAAGCAGTCTTTTAAAAATAAGGACAAAAACTTCCCTAAATCTGGGCTTTGTTGCTTTCAGGGCTTCCCAATTCCTGTAAAATCTGAGTGACCCTTGGCACAGTCTTTTAAAGAGGAAATGCTGCTAGCTAGAGAATGGCAGGGAATATCTAAAGTCTGAAAAGCTTTTAGTATTAAAGTAAAAAAACAAACGAGAAAACCAATATCCATCATCAAAGCAGACATAGCTGAAGATCTCTAAAGTGCCTGGCATCAGTGAATAAAGAAGTAGATTCTTAGAGGTTCCTTAACTGAACTAAAATACAACTTAACCAGGTGCTATATCGTATTTGAATTCATGTTAATGTGGTGTGAAATAAGAATTAAGAATAAGAACCTGCCCTAGTGTGCAAGGTTTGGGAATGTGCAGATTCACTGCTGCGTAGTTTTTAAGTATCTTGTTTGTGTAATATCTAAGGAAAAACTCATGTCTCCAATGGTAAATGCTTAAGTTTATTGGTATTTTTCGAAAATTTAGTTTGCATTTTAATGGTCACCTGGTTAATTTTGTTAGTCATCGAACAAGTTGATTTAACCTGCTCTGAATATGTGACCACTTATATCTGTCCCATCTTTTGGAATGCAACAGGAGGTTAAAACAGTTCTTCATTCATGGATATTCAGCCTTTGTGTCATTCTTTCCTCTCCTATGTGCTCTGGGCAGTCTGGGGATGGGTGGGGGGAAACTCTGCAGATAGGAGATGTGAATGGTTTCCTGTGGATTGTCCTGTTTTACCAAGATGCATGATTGAGTTGGAAGTGTTCTGAATCTGTGGGCAGAGCACTGAGAGCTTGTTGCTCACAGCAGGCTGTCTCATCCTTACAGCTGGCTTACAAGCTCTCCAGCATCCTCAGTTTGTGTGTATGGTGTGGTCCTGTTCAGGAGCAACACAGTGGCCGAGATCTCCTGAAGTATCCTGTGGTAACATGTTCCTACCTGATGCTGTCGCACTGAAGAGTAAAGAAGGCCAGTTTTTGATTATTTTCAAAAGATGATAAAAGCTGAACAGAATAGTTCACTTACACAATTTCAGGTGTTAAAAAAAGTAGAAGAAAAATCTTAAGCTACATATTTTCTTCAATTCTATATCGTGCAACTATGGTGAATCTATTTTCCTTCAATTAAAGATCTGAACCTTTACAATTGCTGTTCATTGCTTAACTGAAAGTAGGGTCTTTAAGACTGTGCTGTAGGAGTTTGAAGACAACACACAGTTCGAATACATAATAAGAAAATGTACTTTGAGACTGCTGGTTGGTACAATAAGCAGTTTAGCTGGCTCCCAGTGCGACTGATAGCTCAGTTAGATAGTATCAGTGTTTGGGGATGTCTGGTACTTCACTATGGATTATCTTGCAGACTTTCATGAGTGCTTTGGGAGTTGGTAATCGTGTTTTAAAGGATAAATGGAGGTTGTTTGACCTTATCGTCTCCCTTTGCAGTGATGTGCTGTTCCTAGCATCTGTAACTAAGTACTCAGTGGATACAAGGATCACTTTGATGAATATGTAAATATTTGTCACTTAAAAATTTTTAGAAAGGGCTGCTTAAGATCTTTGATTCCAGTGGTCCCTTGAGAGATTCCAATTCCAAGCCTGAATTTTTTCCATCAAATACATCCATTGTCTTCAGTAATAAATTTGCATACAAACTGGAGGAAGCAGCTTGGCCTATTCTTAGAGCAAGTCAAGATTACGCTCTAGTTCATGAACAGCTGTACCTCTTCCTTTATTGTGTACCAACAGTGTGTGCAAGGCAGGGAAGTCTTTGCTGTGGAACAGTTTGCAGCCTAAATGCAGAGGCTGAATGGTTACTCAGTTCCTTCATTAGGGTTGAGATCCCCTATTTTTTACTTGTAGGTTGTAATATGCAGAAAATATGCCAAACATGCAGACGTGTGTATCAGCTCATGCTATGCTTCAGGAAGAATGTCCACTGACTGTTGTTGCTGCTTCCTCTATTGGATGTTTTCCCCATATGATATATTTACATGAACTGGTGTGTGGCTGCTCCCAAACTCAGTTCTGAAAATATTATCTGTATTAACTTTAAACACTTTATGTACTGAAGATTTTGTAAAGGTTTGAGAGTTGGACTGGGGAATGGATGCATGTTTGTGGACTGGGGAGAATGGAGGGGAAAAAAAAAAGAATAAATCAGTGGAAGAGTGGTAATAGTAAGTGGCTGGGAGCCAAAGCCTCTTTACTTCGCCTACTGTCACCAAAGCCCCACCTCCAACCACAGTTGTAGTTATTAGCATCCATCGAGTGGT